TCTGCACTCCAAGTTCAATTTCTGTCTCCATGCTGTTTCGCCAGTTCCCTCTTATCTTGGTAGATCATTCATGTCTACATAGAAGCCTTTCCTAGACTCCTCCTAGTCCTTAGTCCCATCATTTACCCCTAGGAACTAGCACAGCTAAGTGTTCCCTCTGTCTTCACCATCAGACTGTGCTCTTTGTTTTGTTTCTTTTCGAGACAGGGTCTCACTGTAGCCTTGGTTGTACTGGAACCCACTCTGTAGTCCAGGCTGGCCTCACACACACAGAGGTCAGCCGCCTCTGCCTCTTGAGAGCTGGGGTTAAAGGTGCACACCATCATGTCCAGCTTCTAAATGCACTCTTTGTATCTTTCACATCTAGCCCAGAGCTTGGCATATGCTGGTTCTTAGCAACATAAATCACAATAGGGCAAGAGATGTAGTTCAGTGGTAGAGCTCTTGCCTGGACTAGGCCATGGATTTATCTATAACAACTCAGATAAGAAAACCAAATCTATCTATCTATCTATCTATCTATCTATCTATCTATCTATCTATCATCCATCTATTATCTATCTACCTGTCATCAATCTAAGTATTTATGATGACTACAGTTAACAACACTATGCTGCACACTTGAAAATATCTAAGAGAACCCAGCATAGTGATGCATACTGTAATTCTAGCACTGGAGTTAGAAGATTAAGATGTCCAAAGGTCTGGAGAGATTGCATGGTGGTTAAAAACACATACTGCTCTTGTAAACAACCTCTGTTTAGTTTCCAGCCTTCACATCAGGCAGCCTACAACTGCCTGTAGCTATAGCTTCAAGGGACCCAAGCCCTCTTCTGTCCTCTTCAGGTATCTGCATTCATATATGTGCACTCACCCACATACACACACACAGAGGCATGCATGCACGCACACACATTTTTAAAAATAAAAATGAATTGTTAAAAAGTTCAAAACTAGCTTCAGCTATATAGGCCACTCTGGGCTGCACAATACTCTGTCCCACAAAAACAAATCAAAATAGACTTACGTGCATGGATGACAGTAGCACAATGAAAGTCATTATTTTGTACAACTGATGCCCACTAATAATAAAAAGTATAAATTGGCCAGGCATGGTGGCGCACACCTGTAATCCCAGCACTCAGGGAGGCAGCGGCAGGCAGATCTCTGTGAGTTCAAGTCCAGCATGGTCTACAAAGCAAGTCTAGAACAGCCAAGGCTACACAGAGAAACACTGTCTTAAAAATCCAAAAAAAAAAAAAAAAAAAAAGAAGGAAAGAAAAGAAAAAGAAAAAGAAAAAAATGTTAAAAGTATAAATTGTAAATTTCTCAGATTATAGTAGTCAATGCAGTAATGACAATGTCTACCTTATAAAAAGATTTGAAAGAGAACAGGCTTGAAGTATTTTTAGCATGAATACATGTTAGGCTCATGAAGGAACCATGTTAACTGGCTGGATTTGGCTGTTCCACAATGCATACATATTTTAAAGAACAGCACATTGTATGCTATAAATGTGCTTGCTTTTGTCAATTAAAAAATTGAAAGTAAAAAACATACTGGCTAAGCAAATAAAGAAAAACATACTGGCTAAGCAAATAAAGAAAAGCAGCAAGAAATAATGTAGTGTTTCAAAAGCTTCCAAGTAAAGAAAAATGTCTATAAAGAAATACTAAAACCAAAACATTTAGAAACAGGTCTTCAGGGAGAGCAGGGAATGGGAAGAAACGGAGGACATGTGTAACTTTGAAAGAGAGTGTGTAGTTTGTGTATAGTTCTTTTTTTAATTTTCTAATAAGGCTAAATTCATTCAATACCCTAGAGTAAAAGTTTTGATTATAAGTATCCAACAGTATAAAAAGTACAAAACAGATCTGTAGATTTCTAATGTGTAGGTTTCAAAGTGCATGGCTACATACAGTACATCCTACAGGCAGTGTGGAGCAGGAGACTGTGGTTGAGGTCTAGTAATAAGTAAATAAATAAATATATAAATGCAGAAGTAGAGATGATCAATTGAAGTATGTGGGTCAGTTCTCCACAGCCCTTGGTGTGGTATCAAGTCCAGCCATTGCCATTCTCCTGAGTTACTTTGACATGGGATTTTTTTTTTTTTTTTTTTTTTACATTTTGGCCGCAGTATCTGTGTATAGGTCTTATGGTCTAGTGTGATATCAATGACCAGCTTCAGCTTGCATGTTAAAAATAAAAATAAAAACAGGGCTGGGGATGTGGCTCAGTTAATACAGTGCCTGTCTACCATGCACAAAGCATGTTTTTGATCCCCAACACTACACAGATTAGGTATGGTGATGCACATGCATTCCAGCACTTGGGAGGTGGAGGCAGAAGAATTAGAAATTTAAGGCCATCTTCCCTTATTTATGGACTCTGGAACAAGTTGGGGCTACACGAGGTCCTAATGCAAAAACAGGGCAAAAGCGGGGCTGGAAATGTGAGGCAGTAGAGTGCTTACCGACCATGTGCAAAGCCCGGGTCAATCCTCAGCATCCCAAGCCAGGGGAAGGGGATAATGGGTCTGGAAAGATGGCTCAGCAGTTAAGACCACTTGCTGCTCTTGCAGAGTCCTCCAGTTCCCAGCATCCACAGGCAGCTTGCAACTCTTGCTCCGGGGTGCTTTGACACCTCTCCTTTGGCCTTCACTTGCATATATGTATATAACCAAAAGTAAAATAAATCACAGGACTAGAGAGATGGCTCAGTATGTAAAAAGCACTGGCTGTTCTTCCAGAGGACCCAAGTTCAATTCCCAACATCTATATGACTTCTCACTAACATCTGTAACTTCATTTCCAGGAGATCTGTTGTCTGCTCCTAGCCTCTGTGGACATCAAACATGCATGTGGCACACAGACAAGCTTGCGGGGCTAAACACTCATACACATAAAATTATAAAAATAAAAGCTTAAAGTAATGAACGTGAAATTTTAAAGTAATAAACATAAAACAAATCTTTTTAGAAAAATTTCAAAAATTGAGAAGGGGACTCAGCAAAAAAACGCTCCTTTAGACAGATGTTCACAGGAAGAGGTGCTCAATAAATATTCATTGATCAAGTGTGATCAAGTTCCAGGTGACCCCAGGGCTTGGGAGGGAGACTGAGGACTATAGAAAGTAGATGTCGAATGTCTTGCCTGAGTGAAAGTTGGGAAGAGGGGCTTTGTTCTACTTAGATGTCTATTTCCGTGGTAACATCATGACCAAGAGCAACTCTGGGAGGAAAGGGTTTGTTTCCACTTACAGTTGTAATTCATCATAATGGGAAGTCAAAGCAGGAGCTCAAGGCAGGGACCTGGAGTCAGGAGCTGAAGCAGAGACCATGGAGGGATGCTTCTGTACTGTCACGTTCTCACGGATCTCTCAATTTGCTTTCTTACACACCCCATACCTGCCCAGGGATGGCATTGCACACAGTGGGCTGGGCCCGTCGACATCAGTCACTAAGCAAGAAGATGCCCCATAGCTTGCCTGCAGGCCAATCTGATAGGAGCATTTTCACAATTGAGGTTCCTTCTTCCCACGTGATTCTAGCTTGTTTTAAGCTGACAATCATCATCATCATCATCATCATCATCATCATCATCATCATCATCATCAACACAGGTGAGAGTTAGGGTTCTTTTAGAGTTAGGGTAGTCTGGAAGCCAAGAAAGAGACAGAATTCATCTTGGATGGATAAGTAGGCAGGTTGCAAATCAGGAAGTAACACATAACTGGTGTACAGTACTTAAGTACTAGGGCTCTTTCAATGAGTAGTTATGGCTTACACATCAAAAAAGACTGCAAGGCCAGAGAGATGGATCAGCAAGTAAAGGCACTTGATCCCTGGAACCAATATGGTGGAAGGAGAGAGCTGACTCCTGAAAGTTTTCCCTGGCCTCCCAACATATGTCATGCCATGTGCGTGTGCAGATGTTTAGACACACACAGATAAATTAATACATGTAGTAATTGTTTTAAAGCAAGGCTGGAACACCTCCAGCCTGCAGAGGTACCTCAGTTAGTAGAGGGCTAGCCTGGGATGCATGAAACCCTGGGCTCAATCCCTAGCATCCTATAAACAGCATGTGATCCCAGCACCTGCTTTGTAAGAAAGCATGCCGTCGGTGGCCAATAAGGGATTATTCGGCTGGGACATTTGTGTGTATGGGGGAGGTGGGTGGGGTGAGGAGAAAGGGGTTGTGTCAAGCATTCTATTCTGAGCTGTATCCTTAGCCTTCGTTTTTTTTTTTTGTTTGTTTGTTTGTTTGTTTTTTGTTTTTTTTTTTTGTTTTTTTGGGTTTTTTTTTGAGATAGATCCAGGCTGGCCTCTGAATCCTAATCCTCTATCCTTAGACTCCCAAGTGCTAGGATGATAGACCTGGGACCCTGAGGCCTGGATCACCTTTAATCCTCCTTTGTTTCCCGTGAAAGACTTGGTCTCCTTTAGACCAGGGTGACCTCAAACTTGCTGCATAGTTGCAGATGGTCTTGAACTCCTGGTCCTTCTGCCTCTCCTCTCAAGTTTTGGGACCACCAATGTGTGCCATGCCTGGACTTAATGCTGAAACTTGTTTTTGCAGACTGGAGGTGAGAGCCATTACTGAACATGTTTGCTGGGGTGTGGGACTTGGCATAGTGGAGACTCTCAAGGGTGCAAGGTCCTCCATTTGTCTAGGGAAACTGACTGGGGCTGTATTTGACTCTGTAGTCATCAGGGATGGGCCAATTCTTAACTACTAACTCTTCAGATGCATCTACTTTAAATTTGCTGAAGCCTTACTTCTTTGAGATACAAACCTTCTCCTGGCCAGGTAACTTGAACATGGCTCTATTTGGGGCAGGGTCTCATTCACACATTCCTTATTCTGCAACTTGGTGCAAGTGGACATGATGATCTCACTATCTGAACCCTGGCCACTGCACCCTGGGGTGTTCTGAAGGTGACTAATGTCTAGAGTCAAGGCCTTGGGAGCAGAGACATGAAAATCCCCCAGAAAACTGTATCCAAGGTTGCTTAAGGATACCTGTATAGGCAACAGGCTACATTCACTGACACTGAGGCTGTTCTTCACAGTCCATTACCAGGCCCCATGAGGAAAAGGATCTGGCAGAGTTAACTGGCTGAAGATGATTGAGGGCTTTAAAAAAAGAACTTTTTTGGTATTGCTTAGTTTAGGTTTTATATGAGTGTTTTGCCTGCTTGTATGTGCAGCATGTGTGTGCCCATGGAGGTCAAAAGAGGGAGTCAGATCCCCTGGAACTGGAGTTACAGATGGCTGTGTGCCACCACTCCCATGTGGCCCTGGGAACTGATCTCAGGCATTGTGCAAAAGCAGTGAACATTCTTAACTGCTGAGCCATATCCCTTATTAAAGTTTTTTTACTTTTTTTTATTTTTATTTTTATTTTTTTAAGAGTGACTAGATCTTAGCTCACCTGTGAGGAATAAGCACAAAGAGCAGGAATTCAGGAATGTGAAAATACAGATTCTGGGTGGAGTGGGGGTGTGTGTGAAGGATCGGGCACTGGGTGGGAATTGTCTTCTCCCAAGAGAATCACCTTGCCTGGCTCTTAGTTTATAAAAATCAAGATATTAGGGTCTTTTTCTTCACAGCTCAGGGAGAAGATAGAACAGTTTCCCTCAGAGGAGGTTTCAAACCGATCCAGGGGTAAGACAGGAACTGGGAAAGGCAGGACTGAGCTCTCTGGATGGGGGACTGGCAACAGCCATCAATTACACGCAGTGAGTCACAACACAAGCTGAAGCTTAAGAAAACAAACAGGAACATGTAGAGAGGCTGAGTGGGCCGAATAGGACATTTTGGTGAGGCAAGAGTCACTGGCCTGAGCTAACTGAATTCTGTCAGCTCAAGCGGAGGTTAGACCCACTTCTCATTCTGGGCATGTCCCTGCTTTATAGTGGGCATGTGATTTCCTGGGAAGGAGGATTTGATTTCCTGGGACTGGGCGGGCCGCAGCTGTGACCAAAGAGCAGGGTGTGCCTAAAGACAAGCCTTCCGGGAGGAGCGACTGGGGCTCACCTCTGCACCCCACATCTTCATATTCAGGAATGTACCTTTGGTCAAGGGTTCTGTTTCAAAACTGTAGGCTGTTCACTGGCTAAAATCTTGTAGCAAGCTTTTCAGTCCCTTTTCGTCTTGAAGGTTAGGTTGAAACTCCTACGACACAGTGGATCCATTGGGAGAAAAGCACCCAAGTCCTGTAATTAACTTGAGACCTGAGATTGGAGAAGGGGTGGAGGGTGTTGTGTCAACTTTTCCTTTTCTTTTTCCCCTCCCCCTTCTTTCCTTTTACTCCTTCCCTCCTCACGCTTTTTCTCTCTCTCCCTCCTTCCTTTTTTTCTTTCTACAAGGGTTTCATATACTCCAGGCTGGCCTCAAACTCACTGAGTGGCTGAGGATGATCATGAGCATCTCATCCTCCTGTGTCTACTTCCTGAATGCTGGGACTATACTATGTGACATCTTGCCCAGTTTATTTAATGCTGGGGATTAAACCCAGGGCATCATGCATACTGTCAAAGCACTCTACTTTTGAAGCTCTCACTTTCTTCATCAGCATACAAAAGGCTGGAGAGGTGCTTTAAGAGTACTGCTGATCAGACAGAGGAGCCAGGTGCTAGTCTCAGCACCCATTCACAGCCATCTGTAACTCCAGGTTCAGAGGACCCGATGCTTCCCTCTGACCTCTGCTCTGCAGGCACTGCATACACACGGTGCAGAGGTAGACATACAGGTTAAAAGCCCATACACATAAAAGAAAAGTTCTTTTTCAAAATTAGCTACAAAATAATGGGCTTCATTATGATGCTTTCATACATATGTATCGTTATATTTTGTTCTAAGTTGTTCTCCTCTGTTGCACCCATTTGGGGTTTATCTTGAAAGCCATGGGCATGGAGCAAGGACAAGATAGGGCTTACAGAGGGGAGCTGTTCTAATCCAAATGTGTGCAGTGTTAGTGAGGGGACCCTGCTAAGCAGATTCTTTGAGAAACTCACATACTCCCTCACCACAAGTGCCCCCTGAACCTGGCAACCCCAGTATGCTCACTGATTTCCCAGCCCCCCACTCCAAAATCTATTCTTAGCCAGAGCCTTCCTGTGTTGTCTTGTTTGAGACAGGGTTCCTCTGTGTAGCCCTGGCTATCCTGAAACTTGCTCTGTAGACCAGGCTGGCCTCAAACTCACAGAGGTCAGTCTGCCTCGCCTTCCAAGTGCTGGGATTAAAGGCATGCATCACCACACCAGGCTCAGCGCCTTTCTTTATACTTCTGTGTCTTTCAGATCTTTTGATACAACTCAGACATATACTTTCCTGTGATAAGACACATCTATTGTCAGCACAGGGAGAGAAAGCCCAGCTAGAAGACAAGTGTGATTTCTTAGCATAGCAAAACACCCTAAGCAAAGCAGGGTAGTTTGTAAACAGTTTTTCTTAGCTCACTGTTTTGGAGGTCCAAAGTCCAAGACCACATAGCATCCCTGTAGGTCCCAGCATGGTAGAGTTTATGGTGGTGGGGGAGGGAGAGGGATCTCATCTGTTGAGGCCAGAAGCTGGAGAGTGGGGGGAAAGGCAGGCTACCTCTTCTATAGAAACCCTTTCTCAGGAGCACTAGTTCAATCTGTAAGAGAGTATTAGACCCTTTCAAAGACCCTGTGGCAGTTTTAACCATCAACTTGATACAACCTGGAATCAATCATTTGGGAAGAGTCTTACTGAGAATTTATCTAGATTAGGTTGGCCTGTGGGCATGTCTAAGGGGAAATTGTCCCGATGGTTATTTGACATGAGACAACCCAGTCCATAATGGGTAGCACCATTCCCTAGGCAGGAGGTCCTGAACACTGTGAGAGGAAAGAACTGTAGCTAAGAGAAAGCAAGAAAAAAGCAACCAAGGATCCACATATGTATTCTCTTTCTGTTCTTGATGTAGTTTTATGTAATAAGTTTTAAGTTCCTGCCCTGACATCCACACAGTTGTAGTGAAAGAAAACTATTTATTTCCTAAGCTGCTTTATGTCAGAACATTTTATCACAGTAATAGAAGTGAGGCTATAACACAAGGGCAGCCCTGCAAAGACCTAATCACCTCCCACTAGGCCCTGCCTCTTAAAGGTCTCATTGGCTGCCATATCACAATGCTGACAGCTGAGCTTCTAATAAGTGAACTTTGGGGAGCAAACCACATTGGAACCCAGTGCTCATCATTTAACAGGCAACCAACTTCAACAGCTTTTACAAGCAGTAACAGCACCCACAAACCTCAAAGAGCTCTGCAGACAGCTGTGGTCTTTGCAAGTACCTACAGGCTCTGCAAACGGCTGCATATTTTAAACAGTCCTCACTTTAAAATGTGAGTTCAAATTTTTGACAAAATTATAAATGTGAAACTCTGCAAACAGGACAGATTCTGCAAATAACAGTGGGTTTCAAAAGCCTGTAGGCCTTACAGAATAAATGACAGTGGGTTCTGAAAGCCTACAGGTTTTACAAAAAAAAAAAAAAAAAGAGTGAAAGGCTCCAAAATACTGCTAGTCTGCCAGCAACTGTGGGTACTACAGTAGCTGGGCCATATAATATAATTCTAAGCCAAAATATATAGCTGAACTAAAACTATAATACTGTAGGGAGCTGGGGGAAAGGCTCGGTTGGTAAAGTGCTCTTTGCACTTGAGGCCCTGAATTCATATTCTCCAGCATTAGTATAAAATTTGGATATAGCTGCAAGAATCTATGTCACCAGGGCTGGAAGCACACAAACAGGCTGATCCTCAGGCTCATTGGCAAGCCATCCTAGTAATGAGCTCCAGGTTCAATGAGAAGCTCTGACTCCAAACATAAGGTGGACAGTTATTGAGGACACCTGACATTGACCACTGACCCCCCACATGCACAAATGCACATGTGTGTATATACTGAGTGCACATGTGCACAACCCACACAAACCTGTACACACAACATACATGTATACACACACAAACGCACACACACACACACACACACACACACACACACACACACATCAATAATCAGAATAAGAATACAATTGAAAGTTCTAATCCCAAAAGACTGTTAGGGTTTTTGAAACTGTTTCTCATTTACTCTTTCCACAAGAAAACTCTCAGGGTAAAGACAGGAAGGAGCAGAAGGCAGACAGTGCATTTGGACAAGCTTTAGTCAGGGATGTAGCTCGGTGGCAGCACATACCCCCAATATGCACGAGGCCTTGGGTCTGGACCCTGAAAAACAAGTTAGGGGTTCTGCTCATATTGGAAAGCAGATGAGCAAACACAGAGAGGGCTGTTTTTATGTAGTGTGGTGCCAGAGACAGTGGGAAAGGTGAAGAGCCATGTCCCCTTATTGTTTGTGCAAATTCAAACACCCTGAGCTTTTTCTGCCAGCTGTTCTGAATACCTGCACACAACTCAGATCTGTTCCTCTGAGTCATGATTACGGTGTACCTTGACTAATGTCCCTGGTTAGCTTAGCTGTAGCAATAAAATCCATTATAAACTACCTGAGTACCGCATCTAAAGGTGATTGACACTTCTGCTGAAGGTTGCTGACTTCAGGCCTGGGAACACCTTCTCTGTACAGAAGTATGGATTGCACTGACCCAGCCCATGATGCCCACTAGCTCCTGAGTGTCTTTGAGAATGGAGTAATACCGAGGCCATAACTCCATCACAGCAGAAAAACAAGAACAACAACAAAACATTAGATAGATGATAGATACATACATACATAGAAGATAGCCAGTAAAGAGATACTAGATAGATAGATAGATGATAAGTAGATGATAGGTAGGTAGATGATAAATAATATATAGATGATAGATATGCTGATAGGTAAACATAGATAGATAGATAGATAGATAGATAGATAGATAGATAGATAGATAATAGTGGCAGTGGTAACAACGGTAATGATGGTGAAGAAAAAAATGGTTATAGCAATGGTGATAATGACGGTTGAATTCTTTTTCCAAAGATGTCATGACACAGCATAGGAAACTGGATAGAAAGTCATCGTCTGTCAGTTCATGGTGCTGGCATGGTTGTGTCCTTCTGAGAACTGTAAGAGACTCTGTTGCATGCTTCTCTCT